CAGGCACGTGCGGGTACGTGGCGACACGCGGCGTCGGCAGTGGAGGGCGTACGTCGGTGGACCGGCAACACGTGGCTGTGGCGTGTCGGACGGTGGCGGCGCACCTGACCGGGCCGGGCCGCAGCACTGTGGCCTGTGTGATGCTCACCATGACTTATATTCCCCTCAGGCTGAGCGGGCCGGGCGGCAGCGGCGGCAGATCCTGCAGATCCCAGGCTGCCGGCAGAGCGTGGGTCGACATCAGCCACCGAACACACACGGCGGCTGGCTCACACAAACACCGGTCACCGCAGCACGGGGTCGTGCGCTCCGTCTTCTCACCGCGGCAACCCAGGCGCCACGTGAACAAGCGACCGCAGGGAGTGCAGTGGTAACAATGGAAGGTAACACGGTCACCCAGACGTATCCCCGACGAGATGCGGTTGCGATGCACTTTCAACGTGCAATCACTGCTTAGTTAGCTGACTCGGAGCTCAGCCGTCGGACCGACTTGGCGCGACAATTCCAGCCTCCGATAAATAGCCTGGGGCGCATAATCAACGATCCCATTGACGGAGCGACGAACGCTCAGTTCGCTCCATCCGTCGACACGGAGGAGAGCGGGTGCGACATCCACCTACCGGAGACCTCGAGTGTGACGTCACGGTTCCGGGGGCAGCTGGCGCACCAGGCTGTCTACCAGGGACCTGGTCCGGCGTAGGGGAAAGACCACCACCCACCCCAGTACCGTCAGCGACGGACAGCCGAGCACCAGCCTGCAACAGAGCACAGCACACGTCACACCCACAACACCGGCACACAGCGGAACAAAGGGCGCACCACCCACGTGCTCCGTGGTGCGCACGCGCCCCATCAACTGTTCGCCAGCGTCAGCAGACGTTAGCCTGCGAGGCTTCCGCCGCCGTAACAGCGGGTGCCGCCCCCTGCAGCCGGCTCTGACTGGACCGATGACGCAGTGGGGAGCCCGGTGTGACGTCAGAGCCCGTCCCGGCCGCAACACCCCGGCCACATGGGGCTTGCACCACGTGACGGCCCTGGGAGCGGGACGCACAAGTGCTGTCTCGTGGTGAGCTCAGCTGCGGAGGAGCAGACTCTACGGCCACCGGTATGGGCCGGCACCGGGTCACACCTACGGGGGGATGGCGACGCGGAGGGGACAGGGCGAGCACACCGCAGGCAGGGGCACAGCCTGGTTCATTAAGGCTGCAGTTCGCTGGCCGTTCAACACCGGCCCGTCTTGGGCCAGGCTTAGACTACTGATCGAGGTCACATATCAGCTGCCTCGGCTGGGCTCGGGTGGGCGGGAAACACGCCGAGAGCTAAACAACAACAACAGGCAGCCTCCCGGGGTGTCCAGGCCACGTGAAACGCCGCCAGTTTGCAATGCTCCTCATCTAATCGCCTTCGTCACGTCCCCCACCGGTGAGCTCACCGTGTGACACCATCTGTTGAACAAGACCGGCACACGGTCAGGTCCAGCATCCTCAGACGCGGCCCGTGTAGCCGGTCCAGTGTGGCGTCCGTCACAGCTGACAGACAGGTCAGGTCCAGCTGACGCAGCTGCCTGAGCCGCGGCAGGCTGTCCAGCCCAACAGCCGTCACCTCGTCACACGCTGAAACACACAAGAAGCCGGACCGGGTCCAATGCATCAGCACCGTCACGTGATCGCCAGATGACGTCAGAACATGAACAGCGGCTGAACCGCCGGTGCTGTAAACAACACCGCCTTTCGCAACTCCATGGCGGAGCCACGGCATGCGGGGTCGGGAGCGTGTCCTATTGATATGGAACAGCTGGCTTTAATGCGTCACTTCAGCTGCACCATTACCGTGTTGCCACTACGGAATACACGGAAACTGCGTGATGTGGAATATGCTCACCCCATATGCTGAGTGAGTGCAGGCCTGGCAGCAGGTCGGGCAGCCGCTTCAGCGTGGAGTCGGTGACTTCACCGGACCACGTCACGTCAGGTGTCGGAGGGAGGGGAGGCCGGCCGGCGGCAGGCAGAGCTCCAGCGCCGGCTCCAGCCTCCACGCCGTCAGCCGCTCCAGCTGTGGACAGCCGGCCAGCACCGCCGCCAGGTCTGCCGCCTGCAGCCCCTCCACACCTGACACGTCCAGCCGCCGCAGCCGAGGACAGCGGGTCAGCTGACGCAGGCAGGCCGGCTGTAGATGTAGACAATAGGCCACCGAGAGAGCCTCCAATGACTCGGGGAGCAGCGATAAACACTCTCCCCGCACGTCACTCCGCGCCACGTCCAGCCGCCGCAGGGACGGCAGGCGGCGAAGCAGCACCTCCGCGCACCGGTCGGCAGACCTGCGAGGCAGCGTGACGTCCCCCAGCCGGGGACACCTGGTCCACAGCCCCTCCAGAGGCTGTGGGGCCGCGTCGAAGTGGAACAAATCCACCGCTTCCAGGTGTCCTGAGAGCCGGGCTGGAACGACACACGGGTTTCAGTTTGAGACAGCGCTGCGTCCTGCAGCCTTTGCCCTCGCTCCCAGACTCCGTCCGATAACACCGCGACTGAGGCATGCGCCATTAAATGGTAACGCTTTAGAGGCGTCTGTCGCACTCACACTGACAAAACACACAAAACACTCACAGACGACGTCAACGGATAACGGCGCCGGCGGTGAGAAGTCATGGTCGGTTGTGAGCCGCCGCAGGGACGGCATGCGGCGTAGAAGACGCTCCAGCCGCTCGTCGTTGGCGTGCTCCACGTCATCTCCGGTAAGGTGGAGGTCGTGGCGGCGCTCCAGGCTGTCGTCCACTGCCTGGCGCCAGCCACGCGACGCTGCCGGCACCGACAGAGCACACTGTACAGCGGACCGCAGCGGCGCAGACGACGTTCATGTGAGACAAAAACATTTCCACCGGTCAGCACACCCAGCCAGTGACAACGTTTGTCGCGCAAGCGTGACAGTGAGTTGAAAACACACGTCACTGCCATTTCCCTGTGAGAGTAGGAGATCTTACGCTGGCTGCGGCTGGCGGCCAGGTCGCTGGCAGCTGGTGCTGTCTTACCTGCTCGGAACACCGGCGCAAACAATCCGCATCAAGCGGTTCCATAGACAAAAAACATAACAATTCGACAACTGGAGGGCTTGAAGTCTGGGACCCATGCGACGACAAAGCAGTGCGTAATGCAAGTGGGGCCCGCGAAAATAGTACAGCAAATGATCCCAAACTGAAGCTGACAACGGTCAACCATGCCACCATTTAGCGTGATCATTACCTTCACGTTGCGCGATCTGGAGGGTGAGAGGGTAATCTTCGGCATATCTTTTTGCGACTTGTTTAGAAATCATACGTTGGGCTTAATTTTTCCACGCATGAACAACGCGAAAAAACTTGCGTCTGCATTCTATGCAATACTTTTGCACTATTTATCACGACTTATTCAAAATGCAGTCCCGTTTAAAGATGACATTTACAACAGATTGCGAGTACAAGCTGAACGCTCTGCCTCTCTCCTTCCCCACCGTCTTTCTCAAACTGCCTCTTATTTCTCTGACATTTGCCAGCACAATTTTCAACAATACGTCACGCGCTCAACGCTCGCGCTTGCTGTAAGCTTGGTCTTCTGCAAGAGCAGGGCGTGTGGTGGTAAAATATCAAACACGGCTCACACTAACATTACTTTGGGTGGTCCTGAGGGCTTGGTCTTGAGGGGTTAAGAGGGGGGGGGGGGGAGAGGAAATGTGCGGGAGGGGGAGGAACAATTGTCTGGCAACACTGAACAGTCGGTTCCGTGCTGATCGGGACGTGCGGGCCCATTTCCCTTGCAGGAGGAAGTCCTCGGCCCGCGATTTACATGGGTCGGGGCCCCTGAGTCAATGAAGGCCTTTCACTGTTGGTTCGGGGCCTACAGGGCCTAAAAGTGCGGCTTTTGTCGGCAAAGACCTCTATTCGGCCACGGGCAGTGTTCAAGGAGACCACACAGCTCACAGGGTGTAGGGGCGCGGATGGAGGGCCCGGAGTGCACGAGTGCTTGCTGCAGGTGACATTAAGAATCCCGGCTCCAAGGACAGGGCCCTCGAATGTCAGTCAGTGGGCCTCTTGCACCGATTGTAGACCCCCTGAGACAATGCGGGCGCCTATTTCAGCCAGGGACCACCAACACAGAACGGTTGGATGCGTGTCAGCCTGGGCCCTGCGGACATATTTGTCAAGCAAGAAAGAGGCCCGGGCCCGAGATTGGTGCTGGTAGGTGCCACTGAAATAATAGGGGGTCCTGCGTCAGTCAGGGGCCCACAGTGCCTTCGGTGCTGGCAAGGGGCCTCGAGTCAGCCATGGGAACGTTTACTGAACATGGACAGGGACGGGACCTCGAATGTCACAGGGCCTATTGCGTTGACACTCTCGGACCAACGTGACCCTCCGTTCGCACGTTGTCCGTCGCCTGACATTAGTCACGGGACAGACGCAGCGAGGCTTAAGGAGACTGGAACGCCGGGCGTCTGGGTGTTTGACATGCGAGCGCGCATACTCAAAAATATGCTGCATAATGTAGGACTACTCGATTCTGAATGACGGTAGACCATACCAATGGAAATGTTTGACCTCGGTACGATGTTTACGGGCCCTCCATATCTCTGTAGAATCCAGAAAAATAACGACAAAGGACCTGAGCGTTAAGCGCCACTCACTGCTCTTGGTTCAGAAAGAGTCCACTGAACCATTGTAACATGAAAAGTGCCGGTGCTTTATTCTATGTGATTATGTGCCTAGTGATTAAATTCTGTTTTCAGTTTACTCACTTCGAAATGCAACGAGAAAGACGCCTTGCGGTGGCTTACGTGTTTTGTTTTTTTGGACATATGGGTGAAGGCAAAAATCAGTTATGCTTTTATGGGGAGGACATTTTATAGCCAGGGACCCTAGTCGGCCATGCACTCTTTCCCCTTACGAAGATTCTGGCTGCGCTCCTGGTCGCCGTGATAGCCACGACTGTCGTGTGCTCATGACTAGGTTAGAAGGTCCGGTGGACATATCTGCGGCCCATGTGCTTTGACATAAACAGCACTGGCAGTGGTGGTCATCTTGGATATAAAGGGAGAGGTTGGAGAGGTTGTGGCCGGTTGGGTGGGATTGGGTGCTAGTGACGTACACTCCTGTTCCCCGCCTCTCATGAATCGCCCGCTCAGGACTCTCGAATTACCAAGGTGAGCTTCTCGGGACTCGATGCTGTTATCTGTGTATGCTAATTATTCTTACAAATTCATGTTGCCTGATGTTTCAGTAAAGTACCAACACACGACTACAGCAAAGAGAATCAACATCACATCCATGGCACTACATCAAGTCATTTGTCTTACAGTTGACGAAGTAGTGGATAGCCGGCTAACCAGTCTACAAACCGCCATGACCGATGACATAGGCAGACATCGTACGTAAGGAAGAGCCAGGAGGATCTACAATGCCAAAACCAGCCAAGCCATAGTTTCTCACGCAAAGCTGTTCATCGTGGCGTGAAGAGAAACGCTTCCAGTATGACCCTTGATCTTTCGAAGCTCACAAGGCTCATCGCAATAATCGTAATCCATGAGGCTTGTGGCCAACGTTCTGCCAGCTCTTGGTAGAGCGTCGATTTCATGGGAGTGATATGCGACTGGTCAGGCACGACAACTTAAAATGCCTTGCAGTTTTGATCATAATGGTCGGAGATGTCCCTATTCTCTTTGTTTTGTAGGAGTATGCAACCGTGACATTAGCGAGCCGTCGCAATTATTGCATCACATTGAGACAGGTACATCAATTCATCATTTTTAATGGTCCGTGTTTGGTGTGCTGCCAGGAGAGCTAATGTTGACCTTTCGCCAAAGGGGAGGGGGAGGAGCGCAGTTGGCCACAGCAATAAATTAGGCATTTATCAAAATAAGGCGGGATCAGTCAGTTGAGAAACAAAACTTCAGGTAGGAATTAGGCTATTGGGCCATCAGCCCTTCCCCTAGTCACTTAGAAAGTTTGACGCCCCTGGGAGATCAAGATAAGTGAGGCTGTCAGTGGCATAGGTCATTTGATCAGAACTTAGCGCGAGTGGAAGAGTCTGCAATGTGCGTGCGAGACCATCATGGCAACCATGGGTGTAACCCCTGACAGGTGGGCAGGGGTGGGAGAGAGACAGCACTCAGCTATACGGACCTAGCACCCAGGGGCCGATCCAGGGCGGGGCACGGGTCCACGCTCCCCCCCCCCTCTCCCTTGGGCTTCGAAGGGGCCCCATGGCCGGCCAAACAGGTGCAGTTTTTGAAATACAAAGCGCAACAAAACTGGGCATCTCTGGACTTTCAGGCGACCAAGAACAATTGTGAGCAAAAGTGCAGGGGCTATCAGAAGTTGAAAAGATCATTCAATGATTGGAAAAGTTGTTAACTGGAAATTTCAAGCCTTATTACATTGTCTAGAGGCCCCATGCTGTTTGCGGGGCTTAAACGCCCACATACAGGATCATCCCGATCGTTAAGGAGCGTTCCACGTTTCCCTTTATCTCTTTGCATTTGCTCGGAGGGCCCTGCGCTGTTGTTGGAACCCTTCCTCTTAGCGTGCCTGGGCACTCTTGTCAATCATTGGCCCTTACACGGATTCTTTCCATTCGCCAGAAAGGCTCCTGGGCACTTCTTTTCTGAATGGGAGGGGGAGGGGTTACGCTCTTGTGGGGTCTGTTTGATAGCCTGCTCGGGCACATTCGATCGTTCGGGGCCCTCTACGTTGGGGCTTGGGCACGTGCTATTTGAATGCGGCCCTACGCACTTGTCGGACGCCCCTTCTGTTTGCCACCTCTGGCATGTTGGATTGCCCGGGAGCCCCGTACATTGTTTCTTGGTGTTTGAATTTAGGGCCCTCTTCTCCTATCGGGTCATCTGATAACCTGTTCGGCTAGACTCCATCTCTGGGGAGCCCTCCGCACCGGGTTTTGGGTACTTCTTATTCGAATGGAGGACCTTACGCTCCTGTCGGAACCCCTTCTTATAAGATCATTGGGCCCATTCGATAATGGGGGACCTCTACATCTGGTTTTGGATACTTCCTTTTAAGCGGAGGACCCTCTGCCCTTTTCGGGGCCCCAAATCGACTGCTACCGTGGTGCAGTCGATTATTTGGGGCCCTCTTGTATCGTGTTGTGAGTATTTCATATTCGATGTTAACCTGCTCTGACGCACTGGATCGTTCGGGGATCCTCTGTATTAGATCCTGAATACTTACTATTTGAATGGAGGGCCGTACGGTCTTTTTGGGAATCTTATCTGTTAACCTGTTCTGGCACACTCGATCATTCAGAAGCCCTCTACATCGGGTCTTGAGTACTTCCGTTTTGAATGGAGAGCCCGACGCTCTTGACGGGGGCCCGATATGTTAACCTGCGTGGGCGCGCTCGACCGTTCAGAGCCGTCCTTTTTGCGTCTTGAATATCTCTTATTTGAATGGATGGCCCCATGTTCTTGGCGGGCCACAACCAGTCAGCTGCTCGGGCCGGGGGCGGATGCAGAAGGTCGGGGGGGGGGGGAGGCACGGGACCATGCCCCATGGGCCATGCCGAAGGTGACCTAAAGGCTCCGAAGGGGCCCATAACCGGCCGGACGGACGCAGTTTTCTTCCACAAAAACACAACAAAATTGGATGCCTTTGGGGCTACGGGCGACCAAGAGCCATGGTTAGCAAGACTAAAGAGTTCATAAGCAAACAAAGTTTATTCTTCGCTGATTGAGGAAGTGTTGCTTGAGAGAAATTTAGGACCTCATTGCGCTATCTAGAGGCATCACGCTGTTGGTTGCCTGGGCCTATACGTCCACT